ATCAACACTCTAGAATCCTAGACTAACAAATCCGACTACTCAGCCATAGCACAAGAAAACACAGAGATCATAATAGAAGAAGACATGAAATAATACTGCAATAAAAGAGAGTTAGGGTTTAGGAGGTCTTCTCTAAAACGAGAGAGATGAAGATCCTTCTCCCTTTACAAAAGTGCAAAATCTCTAATCGTTTCTTCTTTGTAGAATAGCATAGTCTGCCTAGGAAAAATCAGAATAGAATGCCACATGCGGCGGGAAGAAGAAAATAGAAAGACTAGGGCAAATCCAGAAATTAATGAGAAGTTTCCATAAGTTACGGGAGCAAGCATGGGTTACTCCGTTTGGATGCTCTGCGACAGAAAACTTCCAATATTTATTTTTCTCTTCATGTGTCTCTCCAAAGGTCTCTTTACCTACTCCATACATGTAATGACTCAAAAAAGACTAGAAAGACTCGATAAAAACTTGAAAACAATTAAGAAAACATATATACAAGATGTCAAAAACACCATATATCGGTCATGTGGTGATTCGAGGGTCTCTAAACAAGACTTTCGAACCTAAAAAATCAATGCACCGCCCACAGCATGGAAGGAAAAGTGAGTGGGCGTAGGAGGTCCACTAGTCGTGAGTGATCAAGTGTTACAAGTAGTATCCGAGTTGGTTAACCATCTCGGTTTTGTTCCAAAAGGCATCTTGAGACATGTCATAGTGCGCAATGGGGACGTTACATTATGTGAGCATGGATGAATTGTAACATCCCGATATCTGATATATGTGAAAAGTTTAAGAGAATTGATTTGGTTGTCTATGTCATCATGTCACACATTCGTTTAGAACTTAAGAGTTAAATTTAACTGAATTTGAGTAGTGGAATGATGGGTGACTTATCGAGAAATGATTTGTAATATCATGTGAGTGAGATCAAAACATGGAGAAATGTAATGTAGTGATTGCACTTTTGAGTCTTGGAAAATTAGTGCCATGTTCATCGTATAGAGTGAAGTCCACATGACAAATGAGTGGGTGTGGGACAAATTAGAAAATATGATATTTTTGTTGCATTGCATAACTGCATAACTGCATAATGCACTGACATAGTATGGAGATTAAAGAGGATTAAAACCTTTGGTGTCCTTTTTTCCAGAATACAGATTATTTATAGGGGTTAGTCCACTTATTAGGAGGTATATGATGTTTAAATAAATTATTCATTAGAAAATTAGAAATTATGTCCATAGACGATGAAAATAAGTTTAGCATACATATATAGCATGATTAGGTATTTTAAACATCATTAAATAGGCTAAATAATATACTGTAGATAGTTTTTTCGAAAATTTAAGTCTTTTGGTAAAGGTTAACCCTCATATTTCAAGATAAGTAGGAAAATGATTTTTTTTTATTTATGCATAGCTGCATCCAGAATTGGAATAGGATAAATATAAAAGTGTTTTAATACCTCAGTTGTCCAAATCTTTCTAAAACATAGAGATTTCATATGGTTTAATTTACTGATTTTGGTGGTATATGAAGTTTTATCAAATTCTATTGAAAATTAGAAGTGATGTCCATGTACAATGAACATAAATTTAGTACATTAATATATAATTTGATTAGGAATTTTAAACAAAAGTTAAGATAATAAATTTTAGTATATATAACATTTATCAAAAAACTTGATCTTTTTGTAGAGGTTAACATACATATTTCAGGATAAATTAAAAAATATGATATTTTTGTTGCATTGCATAACTGCATAATGCACTGACATAGTATGGAGATTAAAGAGGTTTGAAACTTTAGGTGTTTCAGTTTTTCCAGAATATAGAATATTTATAGGGGTTAGTCCACTTATTAGGTGGTACATGATGTTTAAATAAATTAATCATTAGAAATTCAGATGTCCATAGACCATGAAAATAAGTTCAGCATACATATATAGTGTGATTAGGTATTTTAAACAACATTAAATAGGCTAAATAATATAGATAGTTATTTTGAAAATTTTAGTCTTTTCGTAGGGGTTAACCACCCACAGATTTCAAGATAAACTAGAAAAAATAATTTTTTATTTATCCATAAATTCATCCAGAATTGGTATATGATAAATATAAAAGAGTTTTAATACCTCAGTCATCAAAATCTTTCTATAAAATAGAGATTTCATAGGGTTTCATTCACGGATTTTGGTAGTATATACAGTTTTATTAAATTTTGTTGAAAATTACATGTACCATGAACATAAGTTTAGTACAATAATATATATTTTGATTAGGAATTTTAAACAATAGTAAAGAGAATAAATTTTAGTATATATAACTTTTATCAGAAAACTCGATCTTTTTGTAGAGGTTAACATACATATTTCAGGATAAATTAGAAAATATGATATTTTTGTTGCATTGCATAACTGCATAATGCACTAACATAGTATGGAGATTAAAGAGGTTTAAAACCTTAGGTGTCCGGTTTTCCATAATATAGAATATTTATAGGTGTTAGTCCACTTATTAAGTGGTATATGATATTTAACTAAATTATTCAATAGAAAATTAGAAATGATATTCATAGACAATGAAATAAGTTCAGCATACATATATAGTGTGATTAGGTATTTTAAACAACATTAAATAGACTAAATAATATTGATAGTTTTTTCGAAAATTTTAGTTTTTTCGTAGGTTAACCCACAGATTTCAAAATAAACTAGAAAAAAATGATTTTTTTTTATGTATGCACAGATTCATCCAGAATTGGTATATGATAAATATAAAAGAGTTTTAATACCTCAGTCGTCAAAATCTTTCTATAAAATAGAGATTTCATAGGGTTTAATTCACTGATTTTGGTGGTATATGAAGTTTTATCAAATTTTGTTGAAAGTTGGAACTGATATCCATGTACCATGAACATAAATCTAGTACATTAATATATAATTTGATTAGGAATTTTAATCAAAAGTAAAGATAATAAGTTTTAGTATATATAACATTTATCAGAAAACTTGATCTTTTTGTAGAGGTTACATATTTCAGGATAAATCAGAAAATATGATATTTTTGTTGCATTGCATAACTGCATAATTCACTGACATAGTATGGAGATTAAAGAGGTTTGAAACTTTAGGTGTTTCCATTTTTCCAGAATATAGAAATTTATAGGGGTTAGTCCACTTATTAAGTGGTATATGATGTTTAAATACATTATTTATTAGAAATTTAGAAATGATGTCCATAGACCTTGAAAATAAGTTCAGCATACATATATAGTGTGATTAGATATTTTAAACAACAATAAATAGGCGAAATAATATAGACAGTTTTTTCAAAAAATTTAGTCTTTTCGTATGGGTTAACCCGTAGATTTCAAGATAAACTAGAAAAAATGAATTTTTTTTTATTTATGCATAGATTCAGCGAGAATTGGTATATGATAAATATAAAAGAGTTTTAATACCTCAGTTGTCGAAATCTTTCTATAAAATAGAAATTTCCTAGGATTTAATTCACTTTCAGGGGCTGCTTTGTAATATCCGTAGATTTGTTCCAATCTCCTCCTCTTGCATTGCAAGGCACACTCTCCCGAATCTCTGGAGCGTTACCGTCCCCTGCCCATGGCCTCGAGAAGATCGATATCAACCCCAGTAATCAGGAATGTCTCCGACATCTAAAATCATCGACGAAGAAAGAGACGGATCAAACATCATCGAGGAAGAGATCTCGCCAACAGCCAACATCGACGAAGAGATTTTACCAAAAAAAAAAATTACAACGATGACGAAAGAGACAATTTTTTCCCTTTTGTGTAAATGAAATTAGCCAATACAGAGCCACGTATGGGGTTTTTAACACTTCTGAAAGTACTTAGTTAGACACCGGTTCTGTATAATTATCTTATTTTTGATTTATTTTTTTTACTTTTTTTTCTTTACAACTTTAGCTTAAAACTGCCGATGGAGGTGGTCTTGCGTTTGTTGGGTTAAGGAGGAAGCCTATATCTTGCGACTGTGTCCAGTGGCGGATCCATTCATAGAGGAGGGGTATCAAGTGACACCCCATAAATTTATAAAACCTTAAAAATATACTTAAGAACAGTGAGAATTTGATGCAATTCTGGTAGAAATTATCAATTGACACCCCTAAACCAGTGTTCAATCTCGGCCTTGACACCTCTTAAATCATTGGCTGGATCCGCCACTGACTGTGTCAACTCTACTGGATCCTGTTTTCTGCACAACCCTTTTGTTTACTATGTGTTTCTCAGTCTAGGGTTTGATTTTAGTGTATAGAGAGAAATGAATTTAAAATTTCATCCCTAGGAGGAACCTGAGTTTTGTTCGTATATATATATGTAAGTGGATAGAAGAGAGGTAAACAAAAAAAACCTGCAAGTGAGCAGGACTGACATTTCCTGAGGCCTAAAAGAATAAACCCGATAAGAACTGAGATGTTTATTGATTAAGAACCATCCAACCACCCTCTTTTAATTTCCACTTATCCGAGACTAAACCTAATATGATTCTCCACAAGATAACAAGCCTCAATGTCCATATAACGCATAACGCCCGAAAGAATGATACTCAGACCTTTATATACTAGACCTGATACAAAATATCTATAACAGAACACTTTATTTAACTTGATAATAACCAACTTCTTCGATCACTTTCTAGCTGCATCCTCCCTTCTCGAAGTATATACTCGTAGTGGCATATCAGGTACAAAGAGCACTTGTCTTCCCACCAATAGATGTCTGGAATTACTTTCAGTGAATCCGGAAAGAATCAGTTCCTGCTAAAACAGTTCAAGAGGCAGAAATATTACCACATTGTCTCTCTTACGTCTCACCACTAGCGCATATATGAGACTACTAAGCATATGTTACAAACTTATGATCACCACTAACGCATATATTCTTCTTCAGCTTCTTGCATTGGTAGGCGATCAGCTTAACAATGGTTATAACAAATTTGGAAGTGAGTGTTATAAATGTGTAGAGAGATGGTGACGTATAAAGAAAGAAGGTTTAATACACAAATTCACTGTAGCATCGTAAAGAAAAACTCAAATAATAACCGTTAGACCCATTGCAAATACACATACAGTACTAAACAGCTAGAAACACGATTAAACTTATATTGTTTGGTGAAATAAACAAGCTAGAAAAAAGTAAGTCCGAAAAGTAACTAAAGTACTTCAAGCAGAAACATAAGACCAGAACAAGAAAAATAAAGATAGGTTCATAGGATTAGACTCTGATCACTTCTTCAGTCACAAACTCTTCTGGGCAGCTTTCTTCAACCGCTTGCTCTCTGGGAAATGAGCTTCCTACAAAATGAAAAAAAAAAAAGTGTTGGTGTCTCTGTTGTAAAATCTGTTAGAAACTTATCATTAAGAAAAACACTTGCCTCGAGGTATAGCAGTCTCTGGTTCTTGTTACGTTGACCGAGTTCAGAAATATCAACCTCCTGCTTTTCCCTAAAATGGTTAGACAAATGTATTGATAACAAAAAAAAAGAGAGAGAGAGGATGCTTACTTCAGAGATATGATTGAAAGTCCAGAGATGTTTCATGAATTTATCCAGGAGTTTGCGCTTAGTGAAGCACACTTTGCAATAAAACATTCCGGTAGATTTACCAACCCTTTCAATACTACTTCCACTGCACTTCCGAAGAACATGTTTTTTTGTCTCCGAAACTAATAGCTTTAAGAGATTAGTTTGGTGGTTATATATATATATATATATGAAAATGGATAGAAGAGAGGTAAAAAAGCACCTGCAAGTAAGCTATCCCAGAGCCACTCGGCAGAAGTGAGCAGGACTGACATTTTCAGAGGCCTATAAGAATAAGCCCGAAACAGGTTGTACTTATTGTTTTGTTGTCCCCAGACAAGAGTATCTCCAAAGAAATATTCAGCGTCATCAGATATGAACATCATTGTAGCCGGAGCAGGATTGTCATCTTGCCATGTCTTCCAATCACGAGACATGCGCGAGTATATGACTTCTGTTGTTTCAAAAAAAAAAAAAGGTATAAGAACGCAAGGGATAGTTGCTAAAACAAAGGGAATCATGCGCGCTAGTAAAATGTACTAACCAGGAATGACATGTGCAACATCGATTCCAGTGGAAGAGAGGGCTTGAAGGTGGCATTCGGGGGTTTGTTTATGGTCACCATAGGCAGTGATGGAGACATGACCAGAGTAGCCTAGTTCCTTGAACGCTCCTTCCAAACTGGGACGGACCCTACGAGCGTCATAACCGTCAGGAATAGGACAGCAAAACATGTCCCACCACACATGGATTTTAGCTGCCGCATATTCAGGCGTCGCAGCATAGTTTTTTCCCCACTTGCTCGTTACAGAAATGAGTTGTTTAGGCTGAGGGCGTAAAACCTCCTGATTTGACCAAAAAAAAAGAAAGGATTTGTAGATTAAACAAATTTAGGAGGATTAAAAACATTAAATCTTAATAAAAACTTTTTTTTGGAGACCTTTCGACTGTAATGTTTTGCTCAAATAGTTAGACAATGAAACAATAAACTGATATAAGGCAGAGAGAGAGAGAGAGAGAGGATGGTTACTTCTAGTGCATGATTTTTAGTGGAGAGATGCTTCTTGAAACTCTGAAGGCTTAGGCAATCCAAAGAGCACGTTTTGCAATGAAACACGGCATCATCCGCCGTGTCTGCGCTGCTTGTCACGGCCGCAGTTGTCCCAAGTAGTAATTTTTCCCAAAGCCACTCTTTGCGACAGCCCACGGTCAATGCTGCGCGAGGTCTGACTGAAGAAGCAAGAAAAAGGTGGTAAAACGTGCGTTGTTGTAGCCGAGACAGATCCCAATTGAAAACATCTAGCATCTGATTGGTTATGATCATCATTGTCGCCGGAGGAGGATTATCCTCTCGCCATTTCACCATATCCATATACATGACTGCGCACGTGCTTTCTGTTTCATCACAAAGGACGACACATATTCACTATACATATCCCAAGATCAAATCTATAAACTTTATATATATATAACAACTATTGGACTAACCAGATCTGATATGTACCACCGCGACTCCAGTGGAAGAGAGAGCTCGTAGCTGGTGTTCAGAGGTTTGTTTGTGATCTCCATAGGCTCTGATGGAGACAGGACCAGAGTAGCCTAGTTCCCTGAAACCACCTTCTATGCTCGGACGAACACGATGAGCATCAATACCATCTGGAACCGGACAGTCCTTCATGTCCCACCACACCGCTATTTTGCCCCTCTTTGCCGCATCTTTCCCACTCATCTTCTCTCTCTCTCAACCTTTTAACAAATCTCCGACACAGATCTCCTCTTTCCAGTTACCACCACACCTTGCCTAGGGTTTTCTTTTTTCTTATATATATACATGCGTTCCACCCAACTATAGGGCCTAACCTAAAGCCATTTAATCTGTGGACTTGCGAGTTCGAGGCTTTTATCTTCTTCTTAAAATATATTGACATATGTATTTTATTTTTATTCGGGCTTATTTATCAAATAACCCAAAAAAAAAAAGCAAAATTATAATTTGTGTTTTTTTTAAGTCAGTAAGTGCAAATTTCCCAGGAAAATAATATTATATGGAGAAATACGTATTTTGTTGACAATATTGTAATTACTTAATTACATTAATTATAATTATTAAAAATTAATGTTTTTAATTTCATAGTTTTATAATTAGGTATTTTTAAAAAACATTAAATAGGATAAATAATATACAAAGTATTTATCGAAAAATTTAGTATTTTCGTAGGGTTAACCCACAGATTTCAAGAAAAATTAGAAAAAAATGAAAATTTTCTATTTATGCATAGATGCATGCAGAATTGATATAGGATAAATATAAAAGAGTTTTGCCACCTTATTTGTCCAAATCTTTCTAGAAAATAGAGATTTTATAGGATTTAATTTATTGATTTTGGTGGTATATGAAGTTTTTTTAAATTCTGTTGAAAATCAGGAATGATGTCCATTAAACATGAAAAATAAGTTTAGCAAACATATATAGTGTGATTAGGTATTTTTAAAAAACATTAAATAGAATAAATAGTATACAAAGTGTTTATCGAATAATATACTATTTTCGTAGGGGTTAACCAACAGATTTCAAGATAAATTAGAAAAAAATGAAACTTTTTTTATTTATGCACAACTGCATCTAGCATTTTAATAGGATAAATATAAAAGAGTTTTGAAACCTTATTTGTCCACATATTTCTAGAAAATAGAGATTTTATAGGGTTTAATTTATTGATTTTGGTGGAATATTAAGTTTTATTAAATTCTGTTGAAAATGAGAAATGATGTCCATTAAACATGAAAATGAGTTTAGCAAACATATATAGTGTGATTAGGTATTTTTAAAAAACATTAAATAGGATAAATAGTATACAAAGTGTTTATCGAATAATATACTATTTTCATAGGGGTTAACCAACAGATTACAAGATAAGTTAGAAAAAAATGAATTTTTCTATTTATGCATAGCTGCATTCAAAATTGATATAGGATAAATATAAAAGAGTTTTAATACCTTAGTTGTGCAAATCTTTCTAGAAAATAGAGATTTATAGGGTTTAGTTTATTGATTTTGGTGGTATATGATGTTTTATTAAATTCTGTTGAAATTCAGAAATGATGTCCATTTAACATGAAATTAAGTTTACAAAACATATATAGTGTGATTAGGTATTTTTTAAATAGAATAAAAATAGTATACAAAGATTTTTCGAAAAAAATTAGTATTTTCGTAGGGGTTAACCTACAGATTTCAAAATAAATTTGAAAAAATGAATTTTTTTTTATTTATGCTTAGCTGCATCCAGCATTGATAGAGGGTAAATATAAAAGAGTTTTGACATCTTATTTGTCCAAATCTTTCTAGAAAAAAGATATTTTATAGGGTTTAATTTATTGATTTTGGTGGTATATTAAGTTTTATTAAATTCTGTTGAAAATCAGAAATGATGTCCATTATGCATGAAAATAAGTTTAGCAAACATGTATAGTGTGATTAGGTATTTTTAAAAAAAAACATTAACCTAGGATAAATAGTATACAGTTTTTATCCAAAAATTAAGTATTTTCGTAGGGAAACCCACAGATTTCAAGATAAATTAGAAAAAAAAAATGAAATTTTTTATTTATGCATAGATGCATGCAGCATTGATATAGGATAAAAATAAAAGAGTTTTGACACCTTATTTGTCTAAATCTTTCTAGAAAATAGAGATTTTATAGGGTTTAATTTATTGATTTTGGTGGTATATAAAGTTTTATTAAATTCTGTTGAAAATCAGAATTGATGTCCATTATGCATGAAAATAAGTTTAGCAAACATGTATAGTGTGATTAGGTATTTTAAAAAAAAAAACATTAACCTAGGATAAATAGTATACAGAGTTTTTATCCAAAAATTAAGTATTTTCGTAGGGAAACCCACAGATTTCAAGATAAATTAAAAAAAAAATGAAATTTTTTATTTATGCATAGATGCATGCAGCATTGATATAGGATAAAAATAAAAGAGTTTTGACACCTTATTTGTCTAAATCTTTCTAGAAAATAGAGATTTTATAGGGTTTAATTTATTGATTTTGGTGGTATATAAAGTTTTATTAAATTCTGTTGAAAATCAGAAATGATGTCCATTATGCATGAAAATAAGTTTAGCATACATATATAGTGTGATTAGGTATTTTTAAAAAACATTAAATAGGATATATAGTATACAAAGTTTTTATCAAAAAATTTAGTATTCTCCTAGACCCACAGATTTCAAGATAAATTAGAAAAAATGAATTATTTTTATTTATGCATTTCTGCATCCAGCATTGATATAGGATAAATATAAAAGAGTTTTGACACCTTATTTGTCCAAATCTTTCTAGAAAATAGAGATTTTATAAGGTTTAATTTATTGATTTTGGTGGTATATGAAGTTTTATTAAATTCTGTTGAAAAACAGAAATGATGTCCATTAAACATGAAAATAAGTTTAGCAAACATATATAGTGTTATTATGTATTTTTAAAAAAACATTAAATAGGATAAATAGTATACAAAGTGTTTATCGAATAATATAGTATTTTCGTAGGGGTTAACCCACAGATTACAAGATAAATTAGAAAATATGAAATTTTTCTATTTATGCATAGCCGCATTCAGAATTGATATAGGATAAATATAAAGAGTTTTGATACCTTATTTGTGCAAATCTTTCTAGAAAATAGAGATTTTATAGAGTTTAGTTTATTGATTTTGGTGGTATATGAAGTTTTATTAAATTCTATTGAAATTTAGAAATGATGTCCATTTAACATGAAATTATGTTTAGCAAACATATATAGTGTGATTAGGTATTTTTAAAAAACATTAAATAGAATAAAAATAGTATACAAAGTTTTTATCGAAAAATTTAGTATTTTCGTAGGGGTTAACCCACAAATTTCAAAATAAATTAGAAAAAATGAAATTTTTTTATTTATGCATAGCTGCATCCAGCAGTGATAGAGGGTAAATATAAAATAGTTTTGACACCTTATTTGTCCAAATCTTTCTAGAAAATAGATATTTTATAGGGTTTAATTTATTGATTTTGGTGGTATATTAAGTTTTATTAAATTCTGTTGAAAATCAGAAATGATGTCCATTAAACATGAAAATGAGTTTAGCAAACATATATAGTGTGATTAGGTATTTTTAAAAAACATTAAATAGGATAAATAGTATACAAAGTGTTTATCGAATAATATACTATTTTCATAGGGGTTAACCAACAGATTACAAGATAAGTTAGAAAAAAATGAATTTTTTTTATTTACGCATAGCTGCATGCAGCATTGATATAGGATAATATAAATGAGTTTTGATATCTTATTTGTCCAAATATTTCTATAAAATAGAGATTTTATAGGATTTTTTTTTGGACTAGGATAAAAAGAGTTTTAACCTACAAATTTCAAGATAAATTAGAAAAAAATGAAATTTTTTATTTATGCATAGCTGCATCCAGCATATATATAGGATAAATATAAAAGAGTTTTAACACCTTATTTGTCCAAATCTTTCTAGAAAATAGAGATTTTATAGGGTTTAATTTATTGATTTTGGTGGTATATGAAGTTTTATTAAATTCTGTTGAAAAATCAGAAATGATGTCCATTAAAAATGAAAATAAGTTTTGAAAACATATATAGTGTGATTGGGTATTTTAAAAAAACATTAAATAGGATAAATTGTATACAAAGTGTTTATCGAAAAATTTAGTATTTTCGTAGGGGTTAACCCAAAGATTTCAAAATAAATTAGAAAAAAAATGAAATTTTTTATTTATGCATAGCTGCATCCAGAATTGATATAGGATAAATAAAAAAGAGTTTTAATACGTTATTTGTCCAAATGTTTCTAGAAAATAGATATTTTATAGGGTTTAATTTATTGATTTTGGTGGTATATGAAGTTTTATTAAATTCTGTTGAAAATCAGAAATGATGTCCATTAAACATGAAAATATATTTAGCAAACATATATAGTGTGATTAGATATTTTAAAAAAATAAATAAAAAGGATAAATAGTATACAAAGTTTTTATCAAAAAAAAATAGTATTTTTGTAGACCCACAAATTTCAAGATAAATTAGAAAAAAAATATTTTTTATTTATTTATGCATTTCTGCATCCAGCATTGATATAGGATAAATATAAAAGAGTTTTGACACCTTATTTGTCCAAATCTTTCTAGAAAATAGAGATTTTATAAGGTTTAATTTATTGATTTTGGTGGTATATGAAGTTTTATTAAATTATGTTGAAAATCAGAAATGATGTCCATTAAACATGAAAATAAGTTTAGCAAACATATATAGTGTGATTAGGTATTTTTTAAAAACATTAAATAGGATAAATAGTATACAAAGTGTTTATCGAATAATATAGTATTTTCGTAGGGGTTAACCCACAGATTACAAGATAAATTAGAAAAAGAATGGAATTTTTCTATTTATGCATAGCTGCATTCAGAATTGATATAGGATAAATATAAAAGAGTTTTGATACCTTATTTGTGCAAATCTTTCTAGAAAATAGAGATTTTATAAAGTTTAGTTTATTGATTTTGGTGGTATATGAGTTATTGCCACAAAACAAACATCCATTCCTCCGAGTTATTGCAGATTTGGGAATGTGAATTTTTGTTTGAGCCTTATGTTCCTTTTCCATAGATGCAGATGTATGTGTTTCTCAACTTTTGAGCTACTTTTAGGGTGAGAGACAATACCTTTTTAAAAGTTGATAACATTGACTGGACTAGCTTGATTTTTTGGAGCATAACCTTTTTAACCTAAACCTCAGTTCACCTTTGGAGATTTTCCAAGTGATAAAATATGATCTAAAGTTTCAGATCCTTTATTCTGCATCCTTAACTTTTTGTAATTTTCACTGAGTTCTCTTAGCAGCAGCTGACTTTTCTTGAGTTTCTCATTCAATAGATGTTTCGTCTGCTCATATTTGGTCTTCAAGCTCTTTAGATTGTAGACATGCTCAGAGATTGTATTCTGTAGACTCTGTAGATCAGAATTCTTCTCTTCCTTTGACATCCCAATCTCTGCTTTATTGTTGTTTTGTACTTTAGAATGTTCCATTGTGCTTCCAGCCTTGCTTTATCTTTGATCAGCTGCATATTTTCTTCACTAAGTTTAGTAAATTGACCAAAGAGAACCTGATACTCAGCAAAAAGATCTGTATTTAAATCACTTTCTGTATCACTGTGTGACGCATCAGAATTGGTGTGTGACACATACGAAGCACGAGTTACACCTTTAGTGATGTTTTCTTTCAGACCCTACAACACCATGAAAAGCCACAAAGTTGAGAGCATCTTCCTCTCCTTCTGACTTTTTATCACTGCAACTTCTCCTCATCTTCATCTTCATCTTCTTTGTGTTCACACAATCAGATTTTATGTGCTCATAACCATTACGTCCATTACACCTGATTTCTTTTCTTTTGAATGATGGATAATCTGTTTTGACATGTCCAATACCATGACAATTACAACACAACATTTTCTGTTTTTATGTCTTTCTTCTTCTCTTGGCAGTTTCCTGTTGGACATCTTATACAAAAGATCCATGGTTTCTTTAAGTTTCTGAATCATTAGGTGAATAGATTCTTTAAGTTTTTGAGTTCTTTGGATGTCTTTCCCATCAATTGAAATTCTTGAATTCTGAAAAGGCATTGACAACTTAGATTATAATTCCATCTCCTTAGCCTTTAAAATCTCTACTACCTCAGCGAACTTCAGTTCATCAATGTGCACAGATAGGATCGCATACTTGGTCACCCGATGCTATGGAGGGTCCAACACAACATTTTCTGCTTTTTATGTCTTTCTTCTTCTCTAGACAGTTTCTGTTGGACATCTTATACAAAAGATTTATGGTTTCTTTAAATTTTTGAATCATTAGGTCAATAGATTCTTCAAGTTTTTTAGTTCTTTGGATGTCTTCCACATCAACTGAAATTCTTAAATTCTGAAAAGACATTAACAACTTAGATTATAATTCTATCTTCTGATCCTTTAAAATCTCTACTATTTCAACGAACTTTCATCAATGTTCCTCATCAAAGTTATTACTGCTTTATGTGCTACAAACTTAATAGCTAAACATCGTAATAGTTTTTTCACTAATTTGCATCTTCATATCTATCTTATTAAAGTAGAAGTACTTTAACCTTTTGTTTGGAAACATGGATAGCAGTATTTAAAATAAGTAAGTTTGGAAACATAGATATCAATATTTAATAAGATCTGGTATTTATTGTTACAAAGATTTGCTATTTATTTAAAATCGTAAATATAATTAATTTTAGTCACTAACAATATTTAAGAATATTCGTNTAAAAAAACTAAGAACGTAAAGAACCTAATAAAAGCTGAACCGAAAATCACAACCCAGTCCTATTATATTCAATATGATAGTTCACATACAACGTGGATCACAATATCTTAAACACAGTAATAATCGATGAGTTCTGAATTTATTACATTTTCTCAAATTAAGTTAAACCCGCGCCGGTGCGCGGGTCAAGATCTAGTAAGATCATTATAATATCTTTTCATTTCTTTAGTTTTTATTTGAATACAAATAAATATTTTTAAGAAAATATTAACAAAATCTTTTACGAAATCTTTTAGAATATTTACAAGATATAGATTCAAAAATTATTTGATTAAAATTTTAATTATCATAAAATATAATTAAATTTTTAATTCATTTTTATTTATGAAAAAAACAATTAAAGTTATGTAAAATACTTTTAACAATATCCCAAAATTTTGTTATGTATTATGTAGGTCAAACCTAATTTACTTTTTACATATATTTCAAATTTAGAAATAAAACAAAATATATAAATTAGTAATGTTACATATTAACGTTTTTACATATTGTCAATAAAATACAAATTTTTAAATTTTATATTAGTAATATTATAAGACACATAAATATTATTATAACATTGGATAGTATACAGAATCAAAATATATTTATTTATTGATAAATTTTACTTCCTCCGTTTCTTAATATATGATGTTTTATTGCACAAAGATTAAGAAATTTACATTCTTTTACAACAGTATTTTTGCAGATATAATTTTAAAATCATTTAATCAATTATTAAAAGAAGTAAAATTTTATTGGTTGAACATTTTCCAATAAAGTTAAAAGTAACCTTAAAAACTTAAACTATACCTTAAAATTTCAAAACGTCTTATATTTGAAACAAAATAAATATTTTAAAAACATCATCTAATTTGAAACGGAAGGAGTATTATATATTTTCAAATATTTCCGTACTAAAATATCCGCACGGTTGTGCGGGTCGAGATCTAGTTTTTTACTTAAAACTTATACTTCCAATTATACTTCATTGACTATGGAGCTGAACTTGACACTAAAATCTCATATCTTCTTGTGCTTCATTGACTATAATCTCCTATCTTCTTGTGCTTCATTGACTATAGGAGCTGAACTTGGCACTGAAGTCTCCTATCTTCTCATTATCAGTAATCCTTAATCCTTTTGACACAAACTTTACCGCTTTCGGTTTCTGAAAATAAAAAGCGATTTATTATTTGACCCGGTTAAAAACCTGGTTTTAACCGAGATTCTTGACCATTTATTGTACTTTTTTCTTCCTGAGATTAAAAAGGAAGAAAGTGGCATTGGAAGATAGATAAATTTGTCCCATCAATGATATCCTTATCCAACAAAAAGAAGTTTCATCCAAACCACCTAAATACCACTAAATACTACTGCCTCCTGGTCCATCTTGCCTTTTCTTCAGCTCCCGTGCAAACTTGTTTGACCGCTTGGCAAAATCTTCGTCATCCTCCACATATACAACTTTCTCTTTCCCCTTCCACTCCTTCCCCTTCTGCTCCTTCCCCTTCTGCTCCTTCCCCTCAGTAATCACAATACCAGCACTACGGCTTCCTTCCTTCCTCTTCTGCTCCTTCCCCTCACTAATCACAATACCAGCACTGCGGCTTTCTTCTTTTGCGTTGATGCTGTGAAACAAAAGAACAGAAATGGATTTTCCTGAAATCACATTCAAGTTATCATAAAAAATTTACAGTTATCACATAAATTTAGTTTACTTACCAACTCCACCTAAGCTCATCCACCCTTTCAAACTTTGCTTTCAAAGCCTCAAAAACTTCTGGCTCCAGCTTAAAATCTTTAGCCGTCAACTTCGCTAACTCTTCATCCGTCATACTGTGTATCAAATTGAACCAGTAATTAGTATTTATTATTGTATTTAAATCGCACTTAACATAAAACTAACTTGTGTATCAAATTAATCCAGTAATTAGTATTTACTATTGTATTTAAATCGCACTTAACATAAAACTAACTTACCCCATACGCTTCTTCTCAGCCAACTGTTTCTCCATATTCTCGTCCTTCAACTTCTTTAACTCTTGACTAAACGACATATCCCCTTCCTTTACCTCAATGCTGTGAATCAAATTAATCCAATAATTACCTAAATTATTATTGTATTCACATTGAAGTTATCTTAGAAATACTATTAACTTACCTCTGACTCTTCCTCTCAGCCAACTTTCTCTTGAAATCTGCATAAAGCTTCGGATCCACCCTCCCATCTAGACCCCTGTTATTCTCTAAAAACTCTTTATGAGCCCTTTTATTACTCCACTCCAGGTCTTGACTAAGAAGGAGTTTTGGAAGACCTAACAACTTCCTCCAAGGCCAAGCACGCTCTGCAATCTTCAGTGTCTTTGCTGAAGATTCTTTCTTCTGATTTTTCCCAGTAGGATGATCGTCATAGGCCATCAAGAATGAATGTCCCTCCTCTTTCACCCTAGTGGCAATACGCTTGAAATCGCCATCGCTGCTCAGAATCATGACATTGTGTGACTCTAGCTTTAAAGACAACCAACCCTTGATTTCAAATTCCATATAATCATCAGCGATCTGGTTATCCTTTCTTTCATTTGAGTTGGGATCTACTGGTCCTGAAAAAAACGAACACAAATTATCATATACTAGAGAATTTCACAAATATAAAAAGACAAATAAAAATTAACTTACTTGGACGATTTTTCACACGAACAAGACTCATTGTCTCGAGGAGAGCCTCTGGTACTTCGCAGTCTGTAAAGGGCACAACTATGGTAAACTCAAGTTCCCCACCATAACCATCTTCTCTAAGCGTCTTCTTTATGCGTGGGAAGACTTCTTCTGCATTAAGATCACGGGGAACTCTGCAATTCTCCAAGTCAAACCACACCATTGTCTTCTTCATGTTATGGAAGGACTTCATGACATTCTTCTTTTCCATTTTAGGATTTTCCGAGCCTGCGAAACAGAACAAAAAACTATTTAAGAAACAAACATGTTGTAAAAATGACAATAAACTATGAATACAAACAAAAGTCATCTCGAATGAGCAAAACACAGCAAAAGAAGCGTGACTAAAGAAGAGTTCAGAAAATGATTCCCAAGTTCAACCACACCAATATCTACTTGCAGAAAAGGATAAGAACATGACTAAAGAAGGGTGATCACTACCATAAACTAAAAATACACACATTTAAGAAAGAAAAAGAGGATCTTACTTTCCGGTTCCTCAACAGCCTTTTTCAACTTCTTTTTCTCTACCTCGGGTGCTGAGAGAGAAGAGCCTGAAAAGAGAGGAATATTAAACAAAGATTCAAGCTCGAATGAGCAAAACACAGCAAAAGAAACTTACTCTCAGCATTCATCTTCTTACTCTTCCGCTCCTTATCCTTCTTCTCTATCACAAGATGCTCCGAAGAGGAATCTGATAATGACACAGAAACAGATACGCAAAGAGATTTAAACACCAAAGAACAATAAATAAAAACAGATTTAAGCTTAAGCTTAAACAAAAAAAAGCTTACTATCCGAGGACTTGTTCTTTTCTTTCTTCTTATCCATTTTAGGATTTTCCGAGCCTGTGAAACAGAACAAGTCCCAAATAAATAACTACTTGCAGAAAAGGTTCAGGTTCAGAACATGACTAAAGAAGCGTGATCACTACCATAAACTATAAATACAAACAAAAGTCATCCCAATTGAGCAAAACACAGCAAAAGAAGCGTGATCACTACCATAAACTATTATAATTACACAATTCCCTGTTCCTACCATAAACTACCATAAACTATAAATCTTACTTTCCGGTTCCTCGGCAGCCTTTTTCAACTTCTTCTTCTCTACCTCGGGTGCTGAGAGAGAAGAGCCTGAAAAGAGAGGAATATTAAACAAAGATTCAAGCTCGAATGAGCAAAACAAAGCAAAGGAGACTTACTCCCAGCCTTCCTCTTCTTACTCTTCCGCTCCTTATCCTTCTTCTTCTCTATCACAAGATGCTCCGAAGAGGAACCTGATAATGACACAAAAAAAGATACGCAAAGAGATTTCAACATCAAAGAACAATTAGAAAAACAGATTTAAGCTTAAGCTTAAACAAAAAAAAAAACTTACTATCCGAGGATTTGTTATTTTCTTTCTTATCCATTTTAGGATTTTCCGAGCCTGTGAAACAGAACAAAACGAACAAGTCCCAAATAAATAACTACTTGCAGAAAAGGTTCAGGTTCAGAACATGACTAAAGAAGCGTGATCACTACAAAAAACTATTTAAGAAACAAACAAAGTTATAAAAATGACAATAAACTATAAGAAAAGTTCAGAACATGATTCTCAAGTTCAACCACACCAATATTTACTTGCAGAAAAGGATAAGAACATGANTCGAATGAGCAAAACACAGCAAAAGAAACTTACTCTCAGCATTCATCTTCTTACTCTTCCGCTCCTTATCCTTCTTCTCTATCACAAGATGCTCCGAAGAGGAACCTGATAATGACACAGAAACAGATACGCAAAGAGATTTAAACATCAAAGAACAATAAATAAAAACAGATTTAAGCTTAAGCTTAAACAAAAAAAACTTACTATCCGAGGACTTGTTCTTTTCTTTCTTCTTATCCATTTTAGGATTTTCCGAGCCTGTGAAACAGAACAAGTCCCAAATAAATAACTACTTGCAGAAAAGGTTCAGGTTCAGAACATGACTAAAGAAGCGTGATCACTACCATAAACTATAAATACAAACAAAAGTCATCCCAATTGAGCAAAACACAGCAAAAGAAGCGTGATCACTACCATAAACTATTATAATTACACAATTCCCTGTTCCTACCATAAACTATAAATCTTACTTTCCGGTTCCTCGGCAGCCTTTTTCAACTTCTTCTTCTCTACCTCGGGTGCTGAGAGAGAAGAGCCTGAAAAGAGAGGAATATTAAACAAAGATTCAAGCTCGAATGAGCAAAACAAAGCAAAGGAGACTTACTCCCAGCCTTCCTCTTCTTACTCTTCCGCTCCTTATCCTTCTTCTTCTCTATCACAAGATGCTCCGAAGAGGAACCTGATAATGACACAGAAAAAGATACGCAAAGAGATTTCAACATCAAAGAACAATTAGAAAAACAGATTTAAGCTTAAGCTTAAACAAAAAAAAAAAACTTACTATCCGAGGATTTGTTATTTTCTTTCTTATCCATTTTAGGATTTTCCGAGCCTGTGAAACAGAACAAAACGAACAAGTCCCAAATAAATAACTACTTGCAGAAAAGGTTCAGGTTCAGAACATGACTAAAGAAGCGTGATCACTAGAAAAAACTATTTAAGAAACAAACAAAGTTATAAAAATGACAATAAACTATAAGAAAAGTTCAGAACATGATTCTCAAGTTCAACCACACCAATATTTACTTGCAGAAAAGGATAAGAACATGACTAAAAAAAAGGGTGATCACTACCATAAACTAAAAATACACACATTTAAGAAAGAAAAAGAGGATCTTGAAATAAG